ACAAAAATTGCCAAGTGTTGCAGCCCCTGAAATGAACTTGTTGCAGTAAGAGTTACAGAAGATATAAATACACAACTTATGCAGTTACAAAAATAAAGCCTGATAATATTCAGGCTTTCCAGGATGCAAACCCTGACCTCTGTGATACTGAGAATTTTATTTTTTGGAGGCTTTCTCTTGGCAACTGCATATTTAACTCTGATCTTTTCTGCATTCCTTCTGCAGTTCAAATATAAGAAACTCAAATATTCATCATTGAAAAAATTGTAATAATAATAAATGATTAATGTATATTCTATATATTTGCACAGCTGTCCTCACTAAAGATATCAAACCCTTTGTGGTAGATGTCACCGAGACGAGAGGAGAGGCAATGGAGATGTAAAATTCATTTCTGGCGTTTGTCTCTTGATAGTCCGTACTTGTAAACATTTCACTATAGAGTGATTAAGTCAACGTAGACAAAAGATCACGAACTTTTACCTTCCAATGATACCATGTAACTTGCGTGTAAGAAAAACAATAAAAGTTTGTTTCAAAGGAGAAATGATTGTTATTACTATCTTAGTAGATCTTATACGGTAAAAACTCACCAAAAAGACCAAGAAATGACCAAAATGGTTCCTTAGAAGAATACAGTCAAGCCCTCCTTTACAGACACCCACTTGATGTGGACACCTCATTATTACAGACAGTTTGCTTTGTCTCTGGGGAAAGAAAGCCCTTACATTTTTCTCTAAATTCAACCTGCTTGATACAGACACTTTCTATGACCCCCTCAATGTCTGTAGTAACAGCATTGGACTGTATAGTTGTTATAGTGATTCTTAGATACATAATAGTGCCAAACCATATTGGACCAAATTTCAGCCCAGAGATTCCCGATCAGCAGTTTTTTATACAGTTGGACCTCCACTCTTTTTTTTTGGTGGAGAGTCCATACATTGAATCTTGTTTCAACCTCTCTACAATGGCCACTTTCTTCTGTCCCCAAGGTCGTCGTTGTAGAGAAGTTCAACTGTATGTAGGTAAAGTAAATCGTGTGTGTAGTTGTTTGGAATGAAACTGTATACATCAACAAAAGGAGACACTCTTGTTAACATAAAATCTGCTGAGGATTTATTTACCTTAAATTAAGGTCTGTACACACTGCAAACAAATACATGGTGTGCACCCATATCCACTTAGCCTGTGAAGGAGCTCTCTTGAGCACTCGGACAGCAAGGCAAAAAAGGAGGGAGAGCGTGGAGTCATGCCTCAGGAATTTGAATATCTGCATTTTGCCCCACCACCAGTGCACCCCAGAGAGCCTGCTCACAGGCTAATATCCACTCATTGAGGGACAAGGTGCAAAATTTTATTCTAAAATAAGTTTCTCTTAAACATCTCTAACACACTTACATGCTGGACAGAGAATTAATACATGTTTCAACAATTCATTGTACATGTTGTATTTTAACAGTTTGTTAAAACTACTCTCTCTGACCTTTGTCAGGCCCTACTTGAAAACAAGCTGAAAATATCCTCAAGTTGAGCAATGCAACGGATGCAGACACTTTCCAATGAAAAAAGGATTTCCTCCCATGAAAAGGAAAAGAAAAATCCCATAAGCATTAGTTGGTCACCATGTCGAAGGGTATCCAAACAGAATGATACTGCCTAAGGAATATTGACACTCTAGTATCAGAAGTATCAATCAAGGTGTCCCTTACTAAACCTTTACTAAAATCTAATTTGCTTCAAATCTCAATGACTGAGCACACTTATAACTGGACTTCTTACTGCCTGCAGCAAAGAGAATTCAAAATGACATTTTAAAATTTTTGGCAAATAAAGGATAGCTGATGCCAGAGGTTTTGCCCAACCACCAGGAGCGGACAGCAACAGCAACGAAAAAAGGAGACATCTGAAAGCAAGCTCAAAAAAAAACTTTTAAAAAAGTGAAATTTGCCTTTTTTCAATCTTCGTTACGATTTATCCAACTCACTTTCTCGAATGTAGGCACTCTCTTACGGATTTAAATTCCTTAGAACCTTATCCAACTTTATGTCCTCCATTAAGCATGAAATTAGGGGTTCAACTTGTAGTCATGTAGTGACGGCAAAGAAATGTATAAAACAAGTGTACAGCATGTGCAAAGTTGTCGTTTTGCCTATTAAAGCTATGCCTCATTTTAAAGTCCTTCTTGCCGTTGTCGGATCTTAAGGTCCCCACTTATGAAGGTTAGCCTGTGTTGCAGCTGGCCAGCCAACATATTGTCTAAACCAGACAGTGTAGAGTACCTGCAACCCAGGCTAATGAATGTCAATAGCACCTGGCCAATTAGCCTGTGCCACAGAAGAAACTAAACCTCTGATTAAGTCTGTCTGTGAAACAGTGCCAATATTCTTGTTCTGGGTCCCCACCTGTGTACCATGATTTGAGTATGCATCATGAAAACCATTGTTGATATCCCAAAAGGAATCAGGTTGAAAGGAAATTTGAAACACACTTCCAGTAATTCGTTGAGTCCCCTGGGGGCCCAGAAAAGGGATCTGAGAGCTACTTCACAGACGTTACTAATTAACAATTTATTCCTCCTTGAGTCAGTAGCCCATGGGGGCGAGAGGAATAGTTGTTTTAGTAAAATCCAACTAGTTGGTCAGAATATCGAGACATTAAACAACTTTAGCTAACAAAATGCGATTCAGCCGCCATTGTTTGGGTTTTCAAAGTCGGCACTTTTCACTTCTAGTGGGCTATAACATATAGCCTAGTAGTAGCTCAACCAATCAGAATGCAGCAATGATACCAGATCACTAGTTGGGTTTTACTCATCGGAGTTAAGATTCCATCTGCAATGCAGGCTTCTAGCCAGTGAGGGAATGAAAATACTATTTTACACTAATACTATCACAGTGATTTACTTATTTCTGTTCATGATGTTCACTCTAAAAAATTAAATTATGTAGTAAGAGATGACAAAAAATAATGACTACATTGCAACTCTTTTAGGGCTGGCATAAAGAGATAGCCTATTATTGCACGTCAGGGGTGGATCCAGGATTTTTCTTAGCAGGGGGTGCACCACTATTAAAGGAACGGGGTAACTAACTAGTGACGTAAACAAATTTTAATACAGAATACCAGTTGTATTAGAAAACCGCAGGTCATTAATTTTCAGGGAAGTGGGGTGCGCACCCCTGCAACCTCCCCCTAGATCCACCCTACAAAGCCTTGCAAACTTCTAGACACCATAGTGACAGTGACTCCACTTTACTAATTTTTCAACCAACTAAGTCTCCTACCCAAGGTTTTGAAAAGTGAGTGCACAGAGGATTTCTCCAGGAGTCTCCATCAATTTTGTTCCACGATGTCTTGCCTAACAATATTTTAACGGCACCACTGTATGCCTCCATTTCAAGCTCTACTTAATAAATTACTCAGTGTGCTACTCCCAGGGAGAGAGGGGGCATTGCTGAAGTTAAAGTGACATGTTGATTGTCAAAGGATTTTTTTTTCAGTTTTTTGGCTGCCTTAAAGTTAAGTAGGGAATTTGGGGGGGGGGGGGGAAAAAATTCCACAAAATTTTGGAGTTTATGGAGAAGCGGGGGGGTTTTTTGTTTCACACCCAGTTTTAACTCTCCAATGGGAAAAAAAGGAAAGAATATTAAAAAACAAAATCCCAAAAATACCCTCCCATTTTTGGGGGGGTTAATTACTTTAACTCCATAAATTTTATTACCGCGTGTAACAT